CAGCTGGAGCCACCTGGACGCTGAGAGGTGTTTCCGGTCATCAAGTAGCGTTAGAGGGATTGTGTAGAGACGTACCCGTTACCATCGGAGGTGTTGAAGTTCCTCACAATTTTTTCATCACGCGAGATAAGCTGAACGGCAAGGATATTATATTGGGCCAGCCATGGTTGTTCGGCCATAGCACGTGCATCGATTACGTTCAGGGTATGGGTATGGAAATACAGATTTGGAATGAAGGAGACAGAGAAAATGGCGCTTCCGTGAAGATCAAGCTGCCTATTCTTTCAGCGCCTAGAAACGTTTTTCCAGCGTATGCTCGTAAGAGATTGAATTCGGCGATGGCAGAGTTTGATCTAGAGAAGGTTAAGCCGGGCGATGACCCTAGCGCCAAGGAAGCACCAGTATTCCTATCGCACCTTGCCAACGTGTTTGAGACTCTTGAGACGGGAGAGGTAAGCTCGAAAGAGCTTAGGCCTAACAGCCTTGAAAGAAATTGAAGAGCCCTCAATCTTGAGAGCGGTGAAGCGAGTTTGGCATATCGTGAAGGAGCCAGAGAGTCCTCCTATGCCAACTAGAGTCGAGAAAGTTCTGATGGCCCAAGGAATGAGCCAAGAGGAAGCACAGGGCATGGCGAGAAGATTCATGAGAGCAGTGATGGGCGCTAAGTACAAGCCTGTAGCCCAAAAGATATTGCCGGTCGCAATGCATGATCCGGAGGCGACTGTGCCTACGTATGCACCTATAGAGGTTGAGGAACTGCCTCAGTTGCCAACCAACCCCCCGGGTCGGTTGACGAGAGACCGTATGGCGAAGATCATAGTGCAGGTGCCAGCAGAGTTTTTGACGAAGCCAGAGACGAACTTATTGGCTTATGTGTTGAAGCAGTACGAGAACGCTATAGCGTTTACAGACTCCGAGAGAGGCACTTTCAACAGGAAGTACTATCCAGATTATGTCATGAGGACAGTGCCTCATACGCCGTGGCAGATCAAGCCTTTGAGGTTGCCTTCAGCAAGAACGGAAGAGATACTGAGAATGATGAGAGTGTCATATCCATCCCCGGCCATCGACTTCCGGTCCCTCCGATCCCTCCGTTCCAACTCCGCTCCTCCCTCACTAACCTTGGAGCCCCCATATTCCGCAATCCTCTCGGCACCCCTCGATGGTTACCACCCCCTCATTTCAATTTATTACCTACGCCTCCCTAAGTACGGAGTCCCGAAGACTTCCGGACAGCTCCGACGTCCGCTAGCGCACCCCCGCCTCCGCTGGGCAATACACTCGCCTGCCCTGCAGAGCCCACCTTCGGGCCTATCCCTCCTTTCCGTTTCTGGGTTATCGCCTGCCTTTCCGCTAACCCCGCGAACCGACTCGTCGGTAATATTCAGTCGGCTAATGTTAAACCCCGTTAGCTCCGCTCCGTTTGGCTCCGCCAATTGCGGACCCATCTCCGCTGTAACCATATATATATCCCACTTGTACATAGGTTACACCCCAGTAGTAAAATCAACTAGAGTTACCCCCCTAGGTTCTAATTGCCAGTCAGTAAGTTAGGGCATGGACGTGTCACTAGGCACAGCGCTCTTGGCAGAAGTCGCTGAGGCCGAAGCCCTCCACTACGGAGACATCCCCTCGTCTCGAATCTGGTCTCTGACAGAGAGAGCAGATGGACGCTGGGAAATACGAACCATCCCAGTCATCCTACAGAGCAAGGTTTTTCGTGGTGGAAAAGAAGGACCATAGTCTTAGGATCGTCCACGATCTACAGCCGTTGAATGCAGTGTCAATTAGAGATGCAGCAGCGTTGCTGAGAATAGACGAGATGTTGGATTCTTTCACGGGTTCAGCAATTTATGGAATATTCGATTTGAAGAGTGGATTCGACAGTGTCGTTTTAGCGCCCAGTTCACGGGATATGACGACGTTTGGAGCTTATAGGATGGGATCGCTGAGGCAGACAACCTTGCCTCAGGGATACACCTAACTCCCCAGTCGAATTTCAGAGACGCACGACTCATATGATCGAGCCCATGATACCTGAGAAGGCAGACGTGTTCATAGACAACTGCGCACTTAAGGGTCCCAAGACACGTAGCAACGATGAGTCAATTCCAGAGAATCCACAGATCAGGAAGTTCGTTTGGGAGTACATGCATAATCTACAAGAGTTGCTAGCGAGAATCAAGGAGAGTGGAGCGACGGTGTCAGGGACGAAGATGGTGTTGGCTACTCCGTGTTTAGCTATGTTGGGTGCAGTAGTATCGATCGACGGGATGCATATATCCCATGAGATTACGGCCAAGCTTAAGAACTGGCCCTCGTGTAAGAATCCGTCTGAAGTGAGAGGATTTCTCGGAACTGTTGGAGTCGTGAGGCGCTGGATTAAGGACTTTGCGAAAGTCACCAAGCCTCTTACACTCCTCACAAAGAAGATGGTGCCGCATGAGTTCAAATGGTCAAATGAGGCCGAGCAGGCGATGATAGAGCTTAAAGATTTAGCATCGCGAGCGGTACCCATCAGATCGTTGAACTTTCAGCTCACGTCATCAGTGAAACCTAAGAACCAGCGGGAGACAGACTTGGGCCTAGTCACGATCCAAGTTGACTCTTCAGTCATAGGAGTCGGGTGGCTCATTAACCAGCGTTTTGAGGATGGGGTGTATCCAATCGTTTTCGGATCCCTCACGTTCAACGAAGTTGAGAGCAGATACTCGCAACCGAAACTGGAACTGTATGGAGTACTATGGGCTTTCAAGGCAGAAAGGCACCGTTTATACAACATTCATTTCAAGCTTCAGGTCGACGCGATATCTTTGATCCAAATGATAAATTCGCCAGACTTGCCGAACGCGGCGATGACGAGATGGATAACATTCATCTTGATGTTTAGCTTCGAGATCGAACATAATCCTGCTGAGAAGCACAGAGTCCCAGATGGACTCTCCAGACGAAGAAGTGCAGAGGAGGATTCTGAGTATAGTGACAGAGAGATTGACGTAGAGGAGGGAGTGAAGTTGGTGAAGGCTTTGGACATGCCTTACAATGAGGAGTTCCACAAAGTTTCCAGCGTGGAGATTCTGGAACAAGAGTTTGATGTTCATGAGGACCTGAGGGTCAAGGATACCCGTCTTGACTGTAGAATCGGAGAGTGCAAGGTGCTCGAGGTTAGTTGGTTAGAACCTGAGAAATTAGCGCAAGCCAAGCTAGATGGTGAAGTGTATGAGGGAAGAGCAGACGAACCCGAGGCGAAAGAGCAGAAAGAGAAGCTTGAGCATCCTCACAGGACGGAAGAGTACGATTCAGAGCAGTATTGGAAGGAAATAATATCATTCCTCCACTTGGGGACGATTCCAGCGGACAAGCGTGTAGCGTGCCAGTTGATCAATCATGCAAGAAACTTCCTCATTTATGAAGGAGTGCTGTGGAAAAGGAACGGGGATAAGCCTCTTTTGCAAGTTGTCCTCAGTCCAGAGATTCGCGTGAGGATTATTAGGGACGCCCACGATGGCAGTGGACATCGAGGTCGAGATCCTACGTATCAGAAGATCAAAGACAGTTACTGGTGGCCGAACTTGTACCATTCAGTCGGTCGGTATTGCCAGACGTGCCATGAGTGCCAGATGCGATCGACGTATAGGAACGCAATCCCAATTCAACCGCAGTATGTTAAGACGCTGCTCAGACGGTTTGACGCGGACACCGTGAATATGCCCTGCGGTTGCGGAGGATTTAAGTTTGTGGTGGATCTAGTAGATAATCTGACGGGTTGGATCGAAGCTAAGGCGCTTAAGAATATCAAGTCTGAAGCAATAGCCAAGTTTCTGTTCGACATGATGTGTCGGTTTGGATGTATCTTTCAACTCACGGTAGATAACGGTAGCGAGTTTCAGGGCACAGCCCAAGTTCTCATGGACAAGTACAAAGTGCCAATTGTGAGGACGACGGCATACAACCCAGGCGCGAACGGGAAAGTTGAGCGAGGGCACGGAGTTTGGATTGAGAGTATATGGCACGTTCTCCAAGGGAGGACCAATGAATGGCCAGACTTTGTTGGATACACGCTGTGGGCAGATCGAGTTACTACGAAGAAAACCACAGGCTATTCGCCCTATTACTTGCTTTATGGGCAGCATTCGTTGATGCCCTTTGATGCCACAGATCGGACCTTCCATGCATTGGATTGGCCATCCGTGACAACAACCCGAGATCTCATAGCGATGAGGATAAGGCAGCTCTCCCAGCGGGGAGAATTCCTTGCGAGGGCTGCGACATCATCGTATGAATCCAGGAAGCGCGTCGCAGATGCTTTCAATCAGAAGCACGCAGTGAGAATGTTTAAGGGAGAGTACAGGAAAGGGGAGTTGGTGTTAGTCTCAAACGAGCGCATGAAGATGCAACACGACATGAAAGGGCACCTTAGATGGTTTGGTCCTTATGTCGTCGTCAAGAGATTGCAGTCTGGCGCATTCATACTGCAGGAGTTAGATGGGATGACTCTTAAGCACCCAGTTGCGTGGAAGAGAATCAAGCTCTACCACTTCCGTAAGAGCACGGAGCCCATTATTCGGAATGTGCGTCTCATGCCAGAGGACGAGCAGTTTGATGACGACAACGAGGTAACAAATGAAGTAAATGTCATCAAAGCCAAGAGAGTAGGACTGCCACATCCCTGGGAGCTTAAGGGACGGGAAGCAGAGAAGTATTGGGTGGACAAGCACAGGAGGATGAAGCTGAGAATCAGCGATCCCAGCAACCCTGAGCTTGTGATCGCGAGCCAAGCAGACCAAGAGTTAGAGAAGTTTATCGAGGAAGATGCCCAGTTTTGGGACTTTAGGCACGAGACGTATCTGGGTGAAGATGGGGAGTTGGTCAGATTCAAGAATAAACTGAGCAGGCAGCCAGAACTCTATGAGTGGAATCCGTAAGGCCCGCATGGTTACTTCATGCCCTGGCACTCCTTCCCGATCGTCGTGGATTCAGAGCAGAAAAGTTCAGATCAGATGTTAGGATTGGGCGACCCAGAGATAGAAGTCGTAGCGCCCTCGGAACCGAAGCTAAGCGCAGCGCAGCCACCAATTCAGAATGGCGGCAACGTGATCGAACTCGTTGAGACACAGACTATGCCATCTATGGAGACGGTCTCAGATGAGAACGGGAGCATAAAAACGCGCAGTTTTTCTTTTGAGTGCAACACGGCAGAGAGCAGTCACCCCAACGACTCAGGGAGAGTGAACACTGCGAGAGCCTCTAAGCCAGACAGGAATTATCCAATGCAACGAGGATCTGCGTACCAGAAAGGAAGTCGTGGATTAGGAGGACGGTCAGGTCCGCCCCATCTTCGACCTCCTGTACCTGGGCGAAATTCCTCACCTCCTAGAATCGCGCCCACGGAGCCTAAGTTTGAGCATGAGATAGCTCAGAAGATCGATAACTATGCAGCGGAAGTGGCCCAATTGAGACGAGAACTAGAGGCAGAGAGGCGAAGGAATACGACGCCCCCACTGAACCAGGGACCTATCTCCTCCTCGCCGAAGTCGAAAGAGAGAACACCGGATCTGAACACGAGTAGGCGAGCAAATAAGAGGAGGTGGGGCAACTCACCTAAGGATGGTGATTGGAAGAAGCACGATGGACCATGGACGGCGCGGGCCTCCCCACCGACTGATGAGCCGAAGGACGAACGTTCCTTTGCCGACGTGATAAGAGAGGAGCAACAACGAGAGAAAGAGGACGAGAAGAAGAGGCAGGCAGATGATGAGAGGACGGCAGAGAAGAACGAAGTTAGGGAGTCACTTAAGCGGGCCCCCCACATGCCGATGATAGCAGCCAGTAGAGATGTTGTGGACTGTATCGTGGAGGCTAGGGAACGGATGGACGAGTTACTGGAGATGGGGCGGAACTTCAAGAGTGAACATGATGAGTGGGTTAAGCTTTTATACGAAGCCTTGAAGGAACAGGAAACTCTCATTTACCATCTCAACGAGCGGACTACGACGTTGATGGGTGGACTTAGGGAATCGGGCACGAAGATCCAACTCATGCACGATCAGTTCCAGCTCCAATTCACGAGAATGGCAGACGCGGCACGCGCGGTGGAGAAGATGTTCACTGCGACTCATGAAGAAGAGTTGACGAACGACGATTATTATTTCATCGTCCTGGAATGTCTAGGGGTAATGCAACATAGGATAGGAGACGGAATCTCTACGACGGATTTTCGATACCGCAACTTTGTTGCATACACGCAGTTGTTATGGGATGCGTGGGGGACGATATTCCCACTCCCTTCCATCCTGCCACCCATGGACTATACCGAGTTGGACTTGGCGCAAGAGCAGTTTCGTCGGGATAGGTCGGCAGAACGAGAGATGGAGGCAAGGAGAGTTGTGAGGAATCAGAGGGCGAAGGAGAAGTTGGAAAAGGAGAAGAAAGAGGCGTTGAAAGGGAAGGAGAAAGAACAGATCAGGGAAAGGGACGAGGTGAGGCCTTTGGAGGCCGAAACCTCGGGGTCCGCGAAGGGGAAGTTGTCCTTCAAGGATGACCAAATGATGAGCGGTGAGGTGAATAGGTCGGCCGCGGGAGGAAGGAAGTCCAAGAAGACTAGGACTTAGTGGAGGAAGCTATACCATGTACGATAGGTTGAGGATGGGAAATTGTTTGGAAATATTTATGCGGGGACGGGGAGATATTTATGTTTGGACTCAAGTTGTTAACGCTCGCAGGACAAGCAAGGAACCTCAAGCGCATTGTGAGGGACCACAATAAGAGCTAGGCCTGTATGTAGGTGGGATAATCGCCCACACGCAGAGCCGGCTCGGATATCCATTTACACCATTCAAAAATCATCTTCATTCGTTCCATAATTCAATACAAACTTGGTACCTAAAAATACTCCTAATTCCTACGAATCCATCAATGTCAAGATCGTCCCAATCAGTGGAGAACGTTGGGCTTGTCGACCACTTCGAGCAAGCAATCAACGCCCGGCTCCGTGAGAGTATATATCGCCTCCACCCCATGCCTACCACCTGGGCCGAGTGGAAACGTGAAGCCACTCTCCTGGACAACCAGTGGCGACGCTTCCAGGCAACACAACCCCACGTGCCCCCACCCAGTGTCAGGGCACACCCGCCTGACCCGGGTCCACCCGGACCCACCTGGACCCACCTGGACCCACCCGGACCCACCCGGCCACACCACACCCGCTCCCCGCTGTCCATCCCTCTCCCTCCTCCTTCCTCCCTCCCTTCCCCTTTCTTTTCCCTCTTCCTTCTCCTTTCTTTATTTCATTCTTCTCATCTCCCTCTTCCTGTTTATTTCCTTCTATCTACATGGACCATCTTCCTTTGTATCGATGTACTATTGACCCATCCAGCCCACACACCCCGGACAGCTTCCCGCTGTGCCCAGCACGTGCACATGCAGCAGACGCTCTCAGGATCCCCCATGGGGACACCCGGATGCCTGCGGCTGTCTCCGAGGATGACGTGGCACTCGTCATGTGACTCAAGCCGCATGTACATAAAGGTACCTGAAGTGGGAACCGAAGAAGTAACCTTCTTCTCACATTCTCCACTTCAGTCTGAGTGGCCAGGGACCATTGTCCCGGATCGGGCCTGCCAGTATGCATGCCCACTCCACACCCCGCGACGGCCTCAGTGCCGGGCATTACCCCCGGGCCCTCTCGACCCCGGATGCATCCCTGACACCCAGGCCTCCATTTACCCTGACGCGACCCCCGCCAACCGCAAACCCCCTCACGCACGTCCCACACCCGCAGCCCCACGACCTGGGCCTGCAGCCCCACCCCCAACTCCTGCAGCCCACCCCCCTACAGGGATGGGCCTGCAACCCATGGACCTCAACCACTCGAGGACTGACCAGAGGAGGAATGGGCTGTGTTACAACTGTAACGCCCCAGGGCATATCGCACGAGACTGCCCGCAACCTAAGGTCCACCGGGTCCGATGCCTCCACCCAGAAGACCTTCGAGCACTGATGGAGGGGTTGACGAGGCAGCTGACTGAGGAACCAGAGGGAGAGGGGGAAGAGCCAGAGGCAGGGCCTCAGGAGGATTTTCAGGAAGGCGGCCGGTGAAGGACGCGTCCCGGGTGCCTGTAGAGGATAACTCATGTAAATACCGCAGTGCGCATAAGCCAGCAATGCCAAAGCTTCACCGAGTTATCGCAAAAAAGAGGAGAAAAAGCGCATCTCCAGCACGAGAGAGTGAAAGAACCCCAGGGGTAACACCCAAAGTAGCGGTGTCCCCACCCGCTATCTACGTCCTCTCTAAACAGTCCCCCAGGTCGCTCAGCCTCACCGTGAAGCTGACTGCCCTGACCTCCCTCGCCTCTGTATCCATGTCAGTGCTCCTAGACTCAGGAGCCACCGGGAACTTCGTAAGTCCCGAGTTCATCCGGAAGCATAACCTTGAGACCACCCAGCTCCCTCAGCCCATCCCGGTCCACAACGTCAACGGGACCCCCAACGAGAATGGAGCCATAACTGAGGAACTGGAGGCCCTCCTGACGTTCGGACAACACACAGAGTGGGCCCGGTTCGTGGTTGCAAACCTCGGGCGGCAGTCCCTCATCATAGGACATTCGTGGCTGTTGCACCACAACCCAGAGGTGGATTGGGCATGGCAGAAAGTCACCATGTCCCGCTGCCCATCCTCCTGCAAGCTGCTACAGGCACAAGGCGACCCGGACCTCACCCTGGAACCCAGGGACGGGATCTATGCCGCGATCGTCCCCCCAGGGTGGGGGCATGACCCGAGAGCGACTACAACACCCTCCCAGCGGATGGCCCAGGAAGCCCATGACCCGGAGGCAGAACCCATGCCATTTGAAGCGTTGGTGCCAGAGCATTACCAAGACTTCTGGGATGTGTTCTCGAAAGAAGCCTTCGACCAGCTACCCCCCCGGAAGCCCTGGGACCACGCTATAGACTTAGTCCCGGATGCCAAACTACCCAGGGGGAAGACTTTCCCCCTCTCACAGCCGGAGCAGAAAGAGTTGGACAAGTTCCTACACGAGAACTTGCAGAATGGGCACATATGACCCTCCAAGTCCCCAATGGGGGCTCCAGTCTTCTTCGTCAAGAAGAAGGACAGGTTGCTACACCTAGTCCAGGACTACCGGAAATTGAACGAGATCACAGTAAAGAACTCATACCTGCTTCCACTCATCTCAGACGTTCTCACCCGCCTCTGCAACGCCAAGTACTTCTCGGCTCTGGACTTACAATGGGGGTTTAACAACGTCCGGATTAAGGATGGTGACGAGTGGAAAGCGGCATTCGCAACCAATCAAGGGCTGTTCAAGCCCAATGGTAATGTTCTTCAGCCTATGTAACTCGCCTGCGACCTTCCAGACCATGATGAACGACATCCTTCAGGATTTCATTGATCGGGAGGTCATCATTTGTTACATGGACGACATTCTCATCTTCACGGCCACCCTAGAGGAGCACTGGAGGGTAGTCCGAGAAGTCCTAGAGATGCTACGGAAGAGAAGGCTCTTCCTGAAGCCGGAGAAGTGTAAATTCAAATGGACGCTGTTGTGGGGACAAGTCCGTGCAGGCCAAACCGACACTTATTGCACACTTCACCCCCTACTGCATCAGGGACTAGGATTGGTGAGTCGTGGTAATAGTAGGAGTTGTAGAGACTGTGGCGGTGGTTCTGACGAGTCCAAGATTGTCGGATTTGGTGGAGTAGTTGAGGAGATCTGACATTTTCTTTATTTTCTTTACTATTTTCATTCATTCACACATATGACTTTCCTTTTATATTTGTATCGGACTCTTCCGTGACAACTGTACAGACAGTTAGTTAGAGGTTAGAGAGAGTATCAGCACCGTACTCCCTAGGACCCACATCTACCCTAGAGATAAAGAGACCTACCCCCCCTAGACCTGAGCCACGAGTCTAGATTGATAGACCCATTACAATGCAGATCGACTACCTGGGCCTGGTCATCTCAGAGGGCAGCGTCGCGATGGACCCCATGAAGATCCGTGGAGTCCTTGACTGGCCGACCCCAACCAAGGTGAAAGAAGTGCAGTCCTTCCTAGGGTTCGTGAACTTTTACCATCACTTCATCAAAGACTTCTCCGAGAAAGCACACCCCCTCCACACGCTGACCCGGAAGACCCAAACCTGGAACTGGGGCCTGGACGAGGACTATGCCTTCCGCACCCTCAAAGAAGCCATCACCACCACCCCCGTCCTCTCCTTCCCTACAGACACTGGCCGCTTCAGGCTCGAGTGTGACACCTCTAACTTCGCAACCGGTGCAGTCCTCTCCCAGCTCCAGGCGGACGGGGAGTTCCACCCGGTAGCATTCATGTCCAAGAGTTTCACGGACGTGGAGCGTAACTATGAGATATATGACAAGGAGATGCTCACGATCGTCCAAGCCCTGGAAGAGTGGCGACACTTCTTAGAAAGTGCTGGGGAGAAGGTCGAAATCTACACTGACCACTGTAACCTGAGTTACTTCCGGACGGCCCAGAGGTTAAACCGGCGCCAGGCCCGGTGGACCCTCTTCCTTTCCCGCTTCTACTTCACCCTCGTCCACCACCCAGGGAAACTCATGGGGAAGCCGGACGCACTCTCCCGTCAAGCCGACCACCCGAAAGGGAAGGACAACAACAAAGGGCTGACCCTCCTCCAACCAGCCTGGTTCGAAGCCCATGCGATGGAGGCGGTCTCAGTAGAAGGGGAGGAAGCAGGCATCCTGGAGAGAATACGCAGGGCAAAAGACCATGATGAGAGGGTGGTAAAGGCTATACGAGAGCCGAGGGAAGGGACGCTAAGATCGGATGAGTGGGAGGAGCAGGGAGACCTAGTCCTATACCAGGGGAGAGTGTATGTTCCAAAAGACCCCCAACTCCGTCACGATCTGGTATGGCTACACCATGACGCACGGGCAACGGGGCATCCAGGGTGATGGAAAACCCTGGAACTTGTCTCCCATGACTACTGGTGGCCCTGGATGGCAGAGTACATCAGGCGATATGTATGCGGGTGTGATACCTGCAACCGTGTTAAGTTGTTCCCCTCACAAAAGGTTGGGAAGCTCACCCCAAACAAAGGCCCCACCCATCGTTGGCAGGTGATCTCAGTGGATATGGTAGGGGAGCTCCCAGAGTCAAAGGGATACAATGCCATCCTTGTAGTGGTGGACCACCTATCCAAACACATCCACATGGTCCCCACTGTGACGACCATGGACTCGGAGGGTATCGCACGGCTCTTCCTAGAGCACGTCTGGAGGCACCACGGGCTCCCTGAGGAGATCCTCAGCGATAGAGGGAGTGCCTTCATCTCCCGCTTCTCAAAGGAGCTCGCGGACCTCCTAGGTGTCAAGCTCACCCCCTCAGCGCCCTACCACCCCCAGATGGATGGACAGATGGAGCAGGTCAATCAAGAGATCGAGGCCTACCTCCGGGTGTTCGTCAACCATCGCCAGGATGACTGGGCGGATTGGCTCCCCTTAGCGGAATTCTCTTATAATAACCGCATCCACTCCTCCACCCACCGAACCCCTTTCGAACTCGACACTGGCCAACACCCCAGGATGGGGACAGAACCCACATGCACATC